CTCCTCTTCTGTCTCACTCCTGTCTCACTCCTCCTCTTCTGTCTCACTCCTCCTCTTCTGTCTCACTCCTCCTCTCATGTCTCACTCATCCTCTCCTGTCTCATTCCTCCTTTCCTGTCTCACTCCTCCTCTTCTGTCTCACTCCTCCTCTCATGTCTCACTCATCCCCTCCTGTCTCATTCCTCCTTTCCTGTCTCACTCCTCCTCTTCTGTCTCACTCCTGTCTCACTCCTCTCCTGTCTCATGGTGCTCTTTCAGTTTTTTGGCTCTCAGCTCTCCAATGCTGCCTTTTTTGTCTCTGCCTGTCTCCCTCCTATTTTCTTGTTAAAAATGTGAAATCAGTTCAAGGTATACTTCACAAAAACCTTAAAGCACAAGAAGATATTAATTAGAAATAAATGCAAATTAAAACAAAACCCTTTTACATAATAAAAATAACAATAATCGAAATAATCCTAATGTGTTTAATCAATTGATTATGCTGTTTTCATGTAGATTTTTTTCAGATGGACACACCAATCTGTTTCTCAGAGCTCCTGTTTCTCTCACTCTAAGACAATAAAATGAATGTGACAATTTATCACAATGACTTTAGGGGTGCATTTTACTTTTATTTAGTTGATTCTTGATTTAGTTTTATTTGTAACATGTTAATGTGCCAAACAATGATGACACTCAACTGCATGTTTAAAAATGAGAATATTAATAGCTTTACCCATGAACAGGTGCAATAATTACTTTTGATAAGCACCAACAGTAACTTTAGGGGAGCATTTTTTCTGATTTAGTGATAGGTCTACTTGTAGCAAACTGACATCATGCAGCCTTCAGAACATAAAATGACACTGTGCCAAACAGTGGAGACATAAAAATAATAACTTTTGTCAGTTTTATCAACCTGCATGTAATTATTAAAATAAAATGCCCAGAATGCCCTTATTATAATCTGGCCTTGGTGAAAAGAGGAGCTGAGCTGTCAATCAGCTCTTGCTCCCTTCTGCTGTCATCTTGTCTCGTGTGTGGGTTTATTGTTTTGTTTGATGTTTTCTACTATTTGGTTTATGTGTTTTTATATGCATTTTAGCTTATGGTATTTTAAGTATTTTGAAGTGTATTGTAATTGTTATTTTGCATTTATGTAGTTCTACATTTAATATTTTAGGGTGACTTTTACCATCTGTGTAGGGACTGCAGGTGAAAAATAGCCTTCTGGCTAATTCTGGCATATTTACAGAAATGTTACTGTCCCTGTCATAAATTAAGGAAATTTCAAAAAACGATCACCACCTGGTAGTGAGTTGGATCAGATGGTGGGGGAAGATGCCGGACAGACCCGGTAGACCCAAACGTGTAGTGAGGGTTTGCTAGGAATGCCTGGCAGAAGAACCCGTCAGACAGATCACACCAAGAGAACTCGACATCCTAGCTGAGGCAGGGAGTATTGAAGTAGGCCGTGTTCTGCATCTCAAGGGATGAAGTTCGGCCTCAAGTGAAAGAGTTCAAGTATCTTGGGGTCATGTTCATGATTGAGGGAAGAATGGAGTGTGAGACATAGATGGATCGGTGCAGCTTCTGCAGTTTTGCGGCATCTGTACTGGTCTGTTTTGGTGAAGATGGAGCTGAGCCATAAGGCAAAATTCTCTGTTTACTGGTCATACTACATTCCTACCCTCACCTATGGTCACAAACTTTGGGTAGTGACCAAAAGAAAAAGATTGTGAATACTAGATAATAGATAGGGTTCAGTTATTCAGGAGAGACTCAGAGTGGAGCTGCTGCTCCTCCACATCGAGAGGAGCCAGATGAGGTAGTTTGGGCATCTGGTAAGAATGCCTCCTGGACGCCTCCCTAGGGAGGTAGTCTACCCCGAGGAAGACCCAGGACACGCTGAAGAGACTATGTCTCTCAGCTGGAATGCCTTGGAGTCCTCCCTGAAGAGCTGGAAGAGGTGGCTGAGGAAAGAGAGGTCTGGGCTTCCCTGCTCAAGCTGCTGCCCCCGCGACCCGACTTCAGATAAAAGCAGAAGATAATGGGATGGATGGATGGATGGATGGTTACAGCAAATAAAAACATACAAGTTTCCCTAAACAAACAGCTTCTCAAAGAGGATTTGCTAGAAAGGAGGTGTTTCTGGATCACAAATCTAAATGTTAAGTCTGAGAGTCATCAGATTTTATTGTGTTTGGTTTGGATTTTTAAAATATTTGGAGATTTTCAACACGTTGTTTCTTTGCCAGAGAGCAGAAGCAATGTGGACAAAATAAAGGAGGCAACTGAAATATGGGGGACATATGTAAGTTTGCTGTTTCACATCACTGCGTCAGAGCCAAGAGGATGTCTTTGACCAGCATGGTCCCGATCACCATCTTCTCACAGTTGACCATCAGCTGAGCGGCACCCTCTTCCCTGGTTGCCACTGTGACCAGCACCAAGCTACTGCTAGTGACCGTCCTGCCGGCGAACCTGTGAACAGGATAATCAGGAGGAGGAACAGGAGGACTGAGATCAAAGCAGCAAAGATCAGAAGTGAAGTCGAGAAGAAATACAGGCCAGTTAGGATCCAAGTGACATAAGTTAACACGATATTTGCAAAAGTTAAATAAAAAAAGAGTTGGTCTTTACTCGGATTTCTCATTTGAAAATATTTTACTGGGGGAAACCCATGTAAGTCTTAAATCTTTGCTGTCATGTTTGAAGTTGAGCTCAATTAAAAGAACAAAAATGGAATGGTCAGTTTTATGAAGTTATTGTGACCTGGTACTCTCTGACCTGCTATGGTCAATAAAGCTTTACCTTGTTTGGCTTAAAATTCCCAAACAGCACTAAATAAAATGTAGAAGACCAAAGCTATGGAAATAATATATGGAAATAAATTGTAGCTGTGCTGTGGGATGAAGTTTAAAAGTTACTACAATTAGTGAGTGAGCCGCCACAGTAGATACTTATCAGGACAACCTAACCTACAGCAGAGATTCTTAACCTATGGGCCGTGAGCACCACCTTGAGGGCCTCAAAAGAACAACAGTTTTTAACTTTGGGCCGCAGAGGGCCGTGGGACCACATTGATTTTAAATAAGGTGCAATAAACTTTCTCACCACTAGTAGCAGTAGTGCGCCACTCAGATGTTTAACAACTTTTTTTAATATGTAGAAGATGAACCTTAGAAACCTGCCAAGAAAAGAAACCTATTTAAAATGAAAAGTAGAAGAAAAAACGAAGGCAACCCATCAAAAAAAATTAAAATAAATTAAATTTAAAAAAGCAAATTGTTTGTCACTAATATGAAGTGCAGCTTCTGGTTCTACTATGCAATATTTTAAAGGTTGTCTATTTTTGTTATTGCTCATGTTTAAAAAATGTTATTTTTGTGCTGATAAGCCTGCGTGGTTTGTTAACTGACCGTTGTATTTGTTCAAATAATTGTTATGGAAAGATTAAAATACAAAAAAAAGTTTGTCATTATCATGTCTTGTGGTTATTTGACAGGAGTTTTACTTTTAAAATGTAAGTGTATTTAATTTAGTTACAATGTAAATGCAATAAAAATTAAACCAAGATTTAGAATAATTATCATTTTGATCCATACATTGGTAATATCTGACTGGGCCTCGTGTCACTTTAATATCAATAAGTTGGGCCCTGAGGTCAAAAAGGTTAAGATCCACTGACCTACAGCTTTGAGCAAAAAGGACAAAATGACAAATTTATTGATATTTCACATGATTGACAAAAAAGAAACTGGGCTCCAGTCAGCCCTACCTACTGTAGATCAGCCTAGAGCGGGTTCAGAATCTTTCCTTTGGGTTATTCTGAGAGAGATCTATCTATCTATCTATCTATCTATCTATCTATCTATCTATCTATCTATCTATCTATCTATCTATCTATCTATCTATCTATCTATCTATCTA